GGCACTATAAAAAGGGGTGTTTGGGTCTGCTTTTCTCACCAATTCACTTCACAACATCTATACTTTCATTGCATTCAAATATCATCATTTTCCATAGCTTTCTAGAGCCATTTGTGTGAAGGTTGAGTTGTTCTTGAGCGTACTTAGTTTACTCATAATCTACTCTATAAGAGAGTCTCGTTCTTGAGTGTACTTGTGTTCTTAGACACGTTGAGAGATAGTATCTCTCTCGGTTGATTCAAAGGAAGGTCTGTTTCCTTTGAAGGATTCGTTGAGGTTCGTGTGACTCGAACTCTCAAGTTGTAACGGTTTGTTAAGCACCCGTAAGCTTAACGAGTTAGTAGTGTAGCTCGAGAGAGTCTCTCGGGAGGCTGGATTAGCCACAAGTTGTGGTGAACCAGGGTAAAATTCGGTGTGCCTCTTACTCTTCTCTTTACTTCTCTTTTAATTTTTTAATTCCTGCGATTTCTCCGATCAAACGCTATTCACACCCCCCCCTCTAGCGTTGGTCTCTTATTCTAACACCACGCTATTGCCGTGATTACTCTCTGACTCGTGAAGAGCAAATCGAAGCAAACAGAGATGCAATCCAGGCAAGAGAACGATTTCTCAAAACAGTCCAAGAAGAACGCCAATTGCTCCAAACCCAGAAAGATAACGAACAACGCGAATATTGGGAGCATATGCAAAAGATGCTGGAGGACTTTAATAAGGCTATGGAACAACAAGAAGAGATGGATGAAATTGTTGTTCTAGAAGAGGACGAAGAATCTGAGACAGAATCTGAAACTGAATCCAACAATGTCTCAATTCTTGAATATCCACAAACTCCATCACCATTGTATATCGAAAATAAGATAACACTTGCAGAAATGATTGCACGAGGTACAGTGGTGATGCTTCCTGAAAGCCCAAAAAGTCAAATCGTACAAGAGGTGAAGCCTACTGAGGGTCTTGTCTCGGAAACGCTTTCACCCGTTGCACCAGAAACGTTGGAGGAACCTGTCCTCCTAACATGTGTTGAAGACACTTCTCCAGAGGAACCTGTTCTGGAGAAATTAGAACCATCACCAACCCTTTTGATCATGAAGACTCAGGGGAAAGAATTGTCCTAATCATCGAGCCACCAACAGAAAGTCAGCCCATTGGGGACTTAGAAAGTCATGTACTGACGATTAAGGCCAATGATGTGGATAAACCAAGGAGACTCACACCACCACCCATCCAAGACGAGTCTCCTCCATTTTTCCTGTTGCCACCACGCTGCAGGAATGAGTCAAAGATCCTGGACTTTGACTACAAAAGAACAGAACAAAGGTGGCATTAGAAGAGAGTCAAAAAGGTCAAACTTTATGACTCTCGGATCGGTAAGTCCCGTAAAAAACGGGCTAACGTCAAGCTAGTGACGTTAAAGAAGCGCTTCTTGGGAGGCAACCCAAGTAAATAAATTTTATTTTTTTTTCTTTTTCCTTTTTACGCGTTTTGTGTGTTTATGTGTGCAGGTGGAGTTTGGAATTAGGAGTGCTGGTGAACCATTTTTGACTCAACAAAAAAAAAGAGGAATGACTAACTTTTGTGCACAATTTTGTAAAAACTTTTTTTAAAAAGAAAAAAAATTGAGATTATCTGTGTCCCAAACTCTTGTTTTTATCGCTTAATGACCTCGAGGGCGAGGTCAACCCTAAGTGTGGGGAGATTGGAGTTTGGTACAGAATATTTTTATTTATGTAGGAAAACTTTTTGAAAATATTTTTATACACTTTGTTGCATTTTTCATATTAATACTGATCTCTACACCGTGTACGGAATGACTGTCTAAGCTGGAATGGTACTTAAGTGGACACAAAGGGTGACGCCTTCGGGAGCTGAACTTGTCCCACCATTCCTACTGGGTCATTCTGTGGAAAGGTTTATTCGGGTGAGCCTAAGAGCACCTAATTGGCAGCATTCTGCCCGATCCCGAATACTCTGAATCGGTCTAGTTATCACTATTGATANTTTGTTGCATTTTTCATATTAATACTGATCTCTACACCGTGTACGGAATGACTGTCTAAGCTGGAATGGTACTTAAGTGGACACAAAGGGTGACGCCTTCGGGAGCTGAACTTGTCCCACCATTCCTACTGGGTCATTCTGTGGAAAGGTTTATTCGGGTGAGCCTAAGAGCACCTAATTGGCAGCATTCTGCCCGATCCCGAATACTCTAAATCGGTCTAGTTATCACTATTGATACTTTTAAAATTTTTTTACACTTTTTACTCTTTTCATAGGTAGAATTATTTTTAAGAGCCCCATTATGCAAAAATTAGCCAAAATTTTTAATTTTTTTATTTAAATTGCACATATAGTCTTTTTATTGGCTAACTTTAATAAGTTTTGTAAATAAATAAATTTGGATACAAATGTGTTGAAAAGAAATCATTGTTTTAGTGAATAAATATTAACTTGTAAAATACGTTAAGGTCAAACATTTGTAACTTGTCATTTAAAATGATGCTGTTTCACTACTTCAAATTGAGTATGAACAGAATATTTTTCTGAAAATTTGATATTTCAATGATTGCATTGTAAGTTTTGAAAAAAAAAAAGTCAAAAATTCAAAGAACACGCTTTGGTGAGACCAAGTTCTGGAGTGAATTCAAAGTCAAAAAGCATTTGGTTATATGTCAGATGATGAGACTTATATTGAAGTGAGTGCCAAAAAGCACGCGGTTCTATGTTGTGTGATGAGGTTTTTGAGTGAATAAAAATCCAAAAAACTCGTGGTTCTATGTCATGGTCATATACATTACCAAAAACGTATAGTAATTTGCACATGTACATTGTCACATTACCACAAGGCAAAGTCACATTACCACAGTGCAAATTCCTATTTTGAGAAAAAAAACATGACAGTTCTATTTTGGTACTTTTATCTATGTTTTAGTCTTATTTAGGGTGATTCTAAATTAAATACTCTTTCGTGCATCAATAATTTTATAAAATAAGTGTGATATATATGACCATTTTTATTTTATGAAATAATAAAAAAAATTCTTGAAAGCTACAAATACAAAAATAAGGAGTATATGAGATACTCCGTATTTCGTTTTTATTTCAATCTCTATGTAACTCTGTTTCCCTGTAGAAATAATCCCTTCTGGCACATTACAGTCGGGGCTTAAACCCTAAACCCATTTCTGGGAAATTTTTCTTCTTCATCAATGCCAGTCAATCTCATCCCCCACCTCCGATTTCTCAATTTCTGTAACCCCGTCGCGGTGTTTTCCGCCATGAAGCCCGCACCGCCGTTCAAACCTTGTCGGGCCACGCCCATTTTGTCTCGGGTCTTCCCGCACAAGCTCAAGTACCGGCCTTTCAGGCTGCCGCTCCAGCCGCCGCCCATTTCCGGCCAGTTTGGTCTCCGGAAGTTCTCGACCAGGTCTGACCGAGGAGCATCCCGTGGAGGGAGGACCGGCCTGGGTGGCGAAGTTCGGCCTCCGAAGAGCCTGGTGGAGGATGAAGCTGATCTCAGTGACTGGGTTAGCGGGTTGAGGTCAGATTCTTATTTGAAAACTAGGGTTTACAGCGAAAGTGATGACAATGATGATGATGATGGTTTTTCTGGGAGATCTAGGGGCGGCGGCGGTAGAGGGCGAATGGGGAGAGGAGGAGGTGGCGGTGGTAGAGGAGGGCAGTTGGGGAGAGAGGTGGGAGGTGGAAGGCGTAGAGTAGAGACGGGATTTGTTGATGATTATGATGACGACGAAGATGGCTTTGATGGGAGATCTAGTGGAAGGGGTAGAGGGCAAAGGGGGAGAGGAGGTGGTGGTAGAGGAGGGCAAATGGGGAGGGAGATGGGAGGTGGAAGGCGGAGGGTAGAGACCGGATTCGATGATTTTCACAGGTCTGATAAGCAGAATTCAGGCAAGGAGAAAATGCAGCCATTTTCAAGGGAAGGAGGGAGGTTTGGGAGGAATGAGGGGTCCACTCAAATGCAAAGAGGCGGGAGATTTGGGAATGAAGGTAGGCCTGATAGGCAAAACTCAGGCTCCGACAGGATGCAGCCATTTCAGAGGAAAGGTGGAAGGTTTGAGGTCGAAACCAGAGGAGGGAAAAAGAGGGGTGTGGATAAGTTTGAGTCTGGATTCCGTAAGGATAGAAAGAGAAGAAATGGTGCTGGTGAGATGACAGATGAAGATGATGATGATGATGATGATGATGATGATGACGAGGATGATAATGGATATAAAAGGTTCGGTGATTTGTTAGACAGCGAGGAAGAAAGTGAGGAAGAAGAAGATGAAGAAGAAGCTATTGAGAAAGAAACGAATCCGTCTTCACGGGCTTCAATGCCAAGAAGCCCACAAGGGGAAACCAATTCATACCTAAGTGAAACAAGGTTTGATCAGTTTCCACTCTCACCTTTATCACTAAAAGGAATCAAAGATGCAGGATATGAGAAGATGACACTTGTTCAAGAAGCCACCCTTCCCATCATTCTGAAAGGAAAAGATGTTCTTGCCAAGGCCAAAACTGGAACTGGCAAGACTGTAGCTTTTTTACTTCCCTCCATTGAAATCGTCTTAAAGTCGAACCCATCAACTCGCGACCAAAAACTTTCTCCAATTCTCGTCCTCGTAGTCTGCCCCACCAGAGAACTTGCAAGCCAAGCTGCAGCAGAAGCCAACTCTCTCTTAAAGTACCACCCCACAATTGGAGTTCAGGTTGTCATAGGAGGAACAAGGCTGGCTTTGGAGCAGAAAAAGATGCTAGCCAATCCATGCCAGATCCTTGTGGCCACACCTGGCAGGCTCAAAGACCATATTGAGAACACGTCCGGGTTCGCGACAAGATTGATGGGTGTCAAGGTTTTGGTTCTTGACGAAGCCGACCATTTGTTAGACATGGGTTTTCGCAAGGACATTGAGAGGATCATCGCGGCCCTACCCAAGAACCGCCAAACGCTCCTATTCTCCGCGACAGTCCCTCAAGAGGTCCGTCACATCTCTCACATTGCCCTAAAAAGAGACCACGAGTTCGTCAACACAGTTCAGGAAGGGAGTGAAGAGACACACGCGCAGGTCCAACAGATGTATCTGGTTGCCCCTTTAGACAAACATTTTTCATTTCTCTACTCAATGCTAAAAGACCATATTTCAGATGATCCCAACTACAAAGTTCTCGTCTTTTGCACAACTGCAATGGTGACTAGACTCGTGGCACAGCTTCTTGGAGAGCTGAACTTGAACGTACGAGAAATCCATTCCCGGAAACCCCAAAGCTACAGGACCCGAGTTTCGGACGAGTTTAGGAAATCCAAAGGACTTATTCTGGTGACTTCTGACGTGTCTGCGCGGGGAGTGGATTATCCAGATGTTACCCTTGTGATACAAATTGGGCTCCCATCTGATAGACAACAATACATACATAGACTCGGACGAACAGGGAGAAAGGGTAAAGAAGGACAAGGGGTATTGATGTTGGCGCCTTGGGAAGAGTTTTTCTTGTCTACAGTCAAAGATTTGCCCATGACAAAGGCTGGAATTCCTCTGGTTGATCCAGAGACAAAGAGGAAGGTGGAGAAGGCCTTGTCTCTGGTAGAGATGAAGAACAAAGAAGCTGCTTATCAGGCTTGGCTTGGATACTATAATTCGAACAAGAGCGTGGGAGGGGACAAGTATAGGCTTGTTGAGCTTGCGAATGAGTTCAGTAGAAGCATGGGGCTTGACAACCCTCCAGCCATCCCGAAACTCGTGCTTGGCAAGATGGGGCTTAAGAACATTCCGGGCTTGCGTTCCAAGTAGGTAAAGGAGCTAGGAGTTGGGTTTTCTTGTTTGGGTTTTTGCAGATCTTCTTTAAGGTAAGAGTACTCTTTCATTTTCATGCATTTTGGAAATTAATTGCTTTCAGATTGTGCTGTGCTTTGTTTGAACATTGAAGTTTTACCCCCCCAACCAAATGGCCTTCGAAGCTTTGTTGGTTTTTCAATCATTTAACTTTTCAAATATCTATCACTTCCAAAAGAGTGCTTACTGCTGAGCATTGTTTTCTTCTAGTCTTTAGTACTTAACCTTCCCACGATTTCTTCTCTAAAAAAGACAAAATGAAATGTGTAAATTTTAATTCGGGAAAGCGTTATTTACTCTGATATACTATGGTAAAAGGTAAAATGCATATCCGAT